GGTTTCAGTTATTCATCCCATCAATCAATCAATCTATCTATCAATCAATCATTCATTCATTCAATCAGTCGAGTTGATTATTTCATATATATTAAAAGCAAACACATTAAAATACTCGTTAAGTTAACTCAGTGATTAACATGCATTCCACTTTCATTTTATATGGCATTGTCGAAGTCGTCCTCAAACAAATCATACCACGATGCTAATAAAATAAAACTCAGAATATACTACAATAGTTGTAAGACATCACAATTGGTCTTAAAGAACAACTGCTCTCCTAAAGACGATCCTACCCCGAAGCGTAATCATGTAATATATGAATTTAGATACCCTACTGACGACTGTGCGGGTCAACAACATTCGTATGTGTTTGTGTGTGTGTATCTGTGTGCGTGTGTAAATGTATATTCAAATTATTAATATATTATATTATCATTAAGAGATCGAAATGATGTTTAATTATTTGGAAATAAACAAATGAATGAATGAATGAACCAGAGAAACAGGAAGACACACACACATACATACACACACGCGCACACACACATACACTTACGCACATACACACGCACAATAATGACGATAATTTGACATCGGATTGAATTATGAAGCTTTTCAGATTCAGATATATCTTGTCTTTGTCCATTTTTTTCCAAATCAATAATAATAATAATAATAAAAATAATAGTGATGGTTAATAATCTAAATAGTTTTAATACAACCATTGGTAGCCATAACATCGTTTACTGAGTAATATAAATGTTATATATATATATATATATATTATATATATATATATATATATATATATATTGATATATATAAACCACGGATATATATATATATATATGCGTGTGTGTGTGTGTCTGTGTGTGTGTGTTAGTATGCGTGCACGTCTCTGTAATTCTATAAAATGAAAAAAATGAACCTTTTTTTAATATGCACCACTTTTAATAAATATTATTAAAATAGAAGGGAATATACATAAACACACACACACACACACACACACGAACAAACAAACAATCTATAAACACAGACATACAAACACGTACACACACACACACACACACACACACACACACACACACACACACACAATCACGACATATAGCATGAGGACTGATTCGTTTAATTTTATAAATAAAATACGACCACCATCATCGTCGTCATCATCATCTTCTTCATCATCATTATATAATCATAATCCATTAAGTCTATATATATATATATATATATATATATATATATATATATATATATATATATATGTGTGTGTGTGTGTGTGTGTGTTTGTGTGTAATGAATGAGTAAAAGAAATGTCAATGAAAGATATTAATATGAAGAAATATAATTCAAGGCCGTTACGAAGGTACTGTGTTAAAATACTGATACCTAGACTGATGTTTTTTTAAGGTTTTTTGAAAGGTGCTAATGGATAGCACCTTCTCTCTCTCTTTCTTTCTCTCTCTTTTCCTTTCTCTCTCTCTCTCTTTCTCTCTTTCTTTCAATTTTCTATCTTTTCATTTTCAAAGAAAAATCGAAACTTTTTCAATATAATATTAATAAGTCAACCGTATTATATAATTAGTATAAGCATATATACATTTGCTAGCCATACGATGTACTTATGAATGTGTGTGTGTGTGTGTTTGTTTGTTTGTTTGTATGTATGTTTGTATGTATGTTTGTATGTATGCCTGTTTGTATGCATATATCCGGCCCAGGACCAAACATAATTTATCTTGTTGGCTTCTTAAAGGTAGGAGGCGGTTTAGCCTTTTCAGCAACAGACGATACTGATAATGATGCTGGTGTTGATGATGATGATGTTGGTGTTGATGATGTTGCAGCTGTTGCTGATGATGATGGCGAAATTGAGCTATTAACTTTAGGCAAGCTTGATGTAGCGCTAAACTTTTTAGTCAAAGGCATCGAAGATGATGATGATGACGTCACCGTAGATGATGACGTCACCGAAGATGATGACGTCATCGATGATGATGATGATGATGATGAGGGTGGCTGAGGAAGCGACGATGACGACGACGATGAAGCTGCTGCCAACATAGATGAGAACAATGGATGGTTGGATAACTGACTGTAAACAGGTTTCGGTGACGTTGATAATGATGACGACGACATCACTGATGATGATGATGATGGTACTGGTGGTGCTAATGATAACGATGTTGTTGTTGATGATGACGATGATGATGATGAATTTCGTGTCATCATCAAGGATGAGGATGATGATGATGGTGGAAGCGCCAATGTTGTGTAAATTGAGAGAGTTGGAAGATTGAATGAAAGAGCGGATAATCTCTGGGATGAATAAACTGATGATGATGATGATGGTGGTGGTGGATGAAACGATGATGGTGATGTTGGTTGTTGTGATGACGACGACGATGACGATGATGATGGCGATGTAGCGGTTGCTGGAGCTTTCATCGAGTTTCGAAAATTGTGCAAAGCTTTTGTTGCCGATGTTGTTGTTGATGTTGTTGTTGTTGTTGCTGATGTTGTTGTTGTTGCTGCTGATGTTGTTGCTGATGTTGTTGTTGTTGCTGATGTTGTTGTTTTTGTTGCCGATGTAGTGGTTGTTGTTGATTGTGACGTCATAAATGTTGTTGAAATCGAGGAACTCATCAAAGAAGCATTTGAAATGAAGTTAGAAGTGCTCGCGTAAAGGTCGTTAAACGAAGTTGCTGGTTGTTGTTGTTGCTGTTGTTGAAACTGTGGTTGATGTTGTTGAAATTGTTGTTGTTTTTGTTGCTGGGTTTGTTGTGGCTTCAAGGACAACTGCTGTTTTGGTGGCGGCTGTTGCTGCTGAGGTTGTTGTTGCTTCTGTCTATTTTGTTCCATGTAGAGAAGAAAGGATGGAGTTGAAAGTGGTGGCACGTTGAATGCCTCGTTTCTTGACATGTTGGACGTTGCATTTGTCTCATCTCGCAACAAAATGTTGCTGCCCCCAACCGACGCCGGCGCATCATCAACGTAATCTTGTAGCAAATCATCTGGAGGTAGTGGAAAGTCTTCTTCGATCTGAAGAGATGAACTGACTAATTCACTCGTTGCTGCTGTTGATGTTGTTGCAATCACACCCTCAACAACTTCAGCATTCTTCTCAACATTTGTTGCAGCCACGGATGAAATGTTGTCAACAGTATCATCTACGTCGTCGCTCTCAACTATGCGCATTTCTTGTTGAGACAACGGTAAGGATGTATCCAGTGACAAATTGACAAAATCAGTAGTCCTATCAGAATCTAATTTACTACTTTGCGAAGCAGTATTAACGCTAGAGTTGCCAATACTACTGCTACTACTATTACCACTTGTAACACTTGATGTATTAATAAAAGTAGTAGCAGAACAGCTTTTTGTATCGGCAGTCAGTTTCGAATATCTGCCATCAGCACCACCCAGCAGGGCTTCATCCAGAGTCACGCCAGAAAACTTCCAACTTGGCGAAAGAGAGTATGAGAACGACCCGTCCTCTTTGGTGGCCTCTGGAGACTTGGAAGCCACATTAGAAGAATCATCAGTTGTCGAAGATGTTGTTGTCACATTTTTCAATTCAAGTTGTTGATTTTTGAAGGGAGGCAGTTGTTGTTGTTGTTGCTGCTGCTGCTGTTGCTGTTGTTGCTGCTGTCGTTGTTGCTGCTGGTCAGCACATTCACGAGTGACCACCCCAGACGTGGTGAAGTCGGTCTCAAAAAATGAAAACTTAGACGCCCTGGTGGCTTCGTGTTGCGGCAACATTGTCGATGTGGCTATCGGCAGCGCCGGTGACGATGGTAGCAGTGTCGGGAGGACGGCTGACGTTGGGAGTAACGTCACGAGGTTGTTTTCCTGAACCAGTTCGTAGCTCAACTGGATCGGTTCGACAATCTCCAGAACCGGAACAAGTGACGCAGGACTATCTATATTTGATCTTTTGTTGCCAACGACTTTTCCATCTTTCTCAGAATTCTTCTTTCCCATCGAGTAATCAACATCAACACTTCCATCAACAACGTCAGCTTCATCAACATTTCTCCTGCCAGCAAAGTACTTAACTCCTAAATTATCAACTGAAACTCGGGGACCACCAGCGTTCGAAGATGCAGTTGAATAGCAGGAATCAGACATCGCAATGTTGGAGGCAGATGAATCCACAACACCATTGCTACTATGGCCATTGCTGGCGATCTTATTCTTGACGTAGCTGCTGCTACTGCTGCCGTCACTATCGCAAATATTCGGTTGCGAGACCGATCGATCCAAGTAATCGCTCGACTTCGAAGCGAGACTCAAGGATGGCGTCAGTTGGGGAGGAGGAGGAGCGGAAGTTGTCGTGACAGAGGAGGAACGCAGTGGCAGCGAGTCGATGGACAGACGAAATTTGTCCTCGCTTGTGTTGTCAACGCTGCTGGTTATAGTTCGTCTGTTGGTTAGTTGATTGGTTGGTTGATTGGTTAGTTGATTGGTTAATTAGCTGATTGGTTGATTGGTTAATTCATTGATTGGCTGATTGATTGGCTGGTTAATCAGTCAGTTATGTTAATTTTTACGACTTATTATTAATTTTTTCAACCTTTTATAGTTGATGGCGATGAACTTATGAGGAACGAGCCCAATCTGGTTGTCAGAAGTGTTCATTCCTTCCCACCAATCAGTTGAGACCTTTCGAAATAATTTGAGGTCGTCGCCCTTTTTGAAGGTCAACTCCTGGTCGTTGCGACCTTGAAAAGTATGGACGGCTGTGGCGTCTATGTAACAGTCCATGTCTGTGTGTACGTGTGTGTGGCGTCTATGTAACAGTCCATGTCTGTGTGTACGTGTGTGTGTTTGTGCGTGTACGTGTGTTTGTGCGTGTACGTGTGTTTGTGCTTGTGTGTGTATCATCATCATCGTCATCATCAGCAGTATCATCATCATCGTCATCAGCATCATCATCATCATCATCAGTTGACCTTCTTCGCAATTATCTCCTCCAGCCCCTTCCAGAAGGGTGTCCACCGACTCCTCAAGGTCACTGAAAAGTGAATTTAAATTTTTTTGCAAAAGGAATTTTTCAAATCACTCCACGCCCTCTTTGCTTTTTGCTTCATGGATGCTTGAAACCAATCAGTCAGTCGGTCAATAATATATTCCGTCAGACAATCATTTATTCAATCACGTGTTTATTCATTCAATTATTCATTCATTCATCAATTCAGACTAATCTAACAGAAACTTATTCAACGTTAAACATATCAATCAATAAACCAACCAGCCAACTCAACCAACCAATCAGCATTCAACAACAGCCGGCCAACCAATCAACTAACTTATCGTCATCAACGATAAACTTTTCGTAGACCACGCCCCCTGAGGAACTGGAATGATCCTTGGGGAAAATAAGTTCATGGTAGACGATCAGGATTTCAATGAGATCGTTGATTTGGTTTTGATGGTTGACAGGATCGTGATCCGGAGGGACGGGAAGTAGTGTGGGACCGAAGCAGACGGCCAGGTTGTGGGCGTCCATCATGTTCTCGTCACTGTATTCTGAAAGGCTGTGGTAAGGATGATGACGATGATGAAGACGACGATGATAATGATGGTGATGATGAAGACGATGATGATGACGATGATGACAAAAATGATAATGACAATGCTGATGATGATGACGACAATGATGATGAAGAAGATGACGAAAAAAATGAAAAAATAACAAAATAACCACAAAAAACCACACATAAATATAGATAATTATATACCAATATAAATTAGTTTATGAACAATAGAATGAAATATAGGAGCAAATAATTAAATGAATTTACTGATTGAGGAAAGCAAAGAGGTATCTTATAACGCTGAGATTGGTCCTTGGTAGTGGTAGTAGTAGTTCCTGTATTCTTTCAATGCATTTCTTCTTTTCATCGGCATCTAATTATAATGAAATAATTTACAAATAATTATGTGTTATAATTATATGAATTACAATTATTATAAGTTATAATTAGATGGACCGTAGCTGAATCGTTAAAATGACGTCACCCTCATCTTCATCACCCCTTCGTCCTCATCTTTTTCTTCTACATAAATATCATCTTCATCATCATCATCAACAACAACATCAATTCCAGCATCATCATCATCATCATCCCAATCATCATCAACACCAACCTTCGATATTATACTTAGAGCAGGCCACCAACTCGTCAAAAATCTGAAGCGGGAAAAGCGGCTCACTCAGCTCCCTAAAATAAAGCTTCAGAACCCCGGCCACTGAGTTGATATCCCTCGTCTCAACTTTCGTCAGGATGGGCTCTTCCCCTAATTTTAGGAAAACAAAATGGCATTGGGGACGAGAATTTTAGTTAGAATTACGTTATTTTTTTTTGTCTGATTTAAAAAAAAACATAATTGCGATTGGTTGGAATTAAAAATATAAAATGGCGTCTCATTTGGAGGTTCTTTATAACTCTATAAAAAAAAAATAATGATAAATAGTAAGTACTACTACAACAACAATAACAATAACAACAACAACAACAAACAACAACGACAACAACAATAATAATAATAATAATGAACATTACCTTTTTCAAACATCTTTTTGTACTCATTTATCTCATGTTGAAGTCCCGGTATTCTGAATACACCTTGATGATGCATACCTGAGTGTGTGTGTGTGTTTATGTGTATGTGTGTGTGTGTGTGTGTGTGTGTGTGTGTGTGTGTGTGTGTGCGTATGTTCGACAATTAGTTTCGACACGAGAGAGACTAAGAATTGAAATCGGACAATAATTATTTTAAATCATCTTAGCTAAGAAATGGCATTCTTCAAAAGAGGGATGAATCGCAATGGCATACGTGCAAGAAGGAAGAAAAGATACAAGTTCTTAAAACTTAAAGTATAAATATATATATATATATATATATATATATATATATATATATATATATATATAATATATATATATATATATTGGAAAGAGGCTATGTTTTATACAGTGTTGTATGAATTCTACCAAATTGTTGGCATTAATCAATTTTAGAGTTTGTTTTTCATACAATACTGTATATATATATATATATATATATATATATATATATATATATATATATATATATATATATATGCAGCAGCAACTACAGTAACAGCAGTAACTACAACAGCTACATCATCGTCGTCATCATCATCTCACCATATAGATTGATTATCTTTGTGCAGCTGCGAATTACTAATGGGATTTCTTCGCCTGTTGCCTATTGGAGATGATATTGTTGTTGTTGTTGATGATGATGATGTTGTTGTTGGGTTAGTATTAATATTAGTATTGTTATTGTTAGTAGTAGTAGTAGTAGTATTTAACATCATTAACATAAATTAGCCTCTTACATTAACATATTCCCGTACGCTCCCACCAAAAAGCTTGGGCTTGCTCTCAAGAGCATATTTACCGAGGGCCTTCTTTCTGATTGGTCGATTGTTATGACCGGAACTTAGCCTAATTTAAATAACAAAAACGAATAACAATAACGTTATCAGTGTTTACAGTCACATTTGCGATAAAATGAACAGAATGAAAGAATACGTAAAATGATGATGATGATGATGACAATTATGTTGGTGATGACGATGATAATGATGACGAAGATGGTCATGATGATGATGGTGTAGCTCATGTTTCCAACCGAACTGAACGAACAACAAAGATATTATAAATAAAACTAAAATAAAACACGAAGTTACACCTAAAAAACCCGCGCAAAAACGAAAAAAAAACCATAACCATGTTTTATAAACACACACACACACGCACACGCACATACACACACACGCACATACACACACACACGCAAACACACGCACACTGCTCATGTGTCTACCTTTTTATATTAACTCCAATATACCTGACGTAGAGCCAATGGATGATAGAACGAGTGTAAAAATTGAAAAGAAAATGAATAAAATACCATTTATTTATTATTGTTATGGTTATTATTGTTATTGTTGTTGTTGTTGTTGTTTATAGTATTATCTAAATGTTTATAACGTTTAAAGACGAAACAACGAACCATAACAACAACATCAGTAGCTTCAACATCATCAACAACAACATCAACAACCTCAACAACAACAAACTTTTGATTATCATCTTTGGTGATGGCCAGCACTTTTTCTAGCGCCAAACATTTCGCGTGCAACCTCGCCACCAGGTTGCTGTTCAGCTCGTAGTTCTTGAATTTCTAAGAGGATGATGTTGATGATTTTGTTGTTGATGATGATGTTGTTGTTGTTGATGTTGATGATTATGATGTTGTTGTTGTTAATGTTGTTGTTGATAATGAAGATGTTATTGTTGTTGTTGCTGATGATGTTGTTGTTTTTGTTGTTGAAGTTGATGATGTTGTTGTTGATGTTGTTGATAATGAAGATGTTGTTGATGTTGTTGTTGTTGCTGATGATGTTGATGAAGATGATGATGACCATTAAATGGACAAAACCACCACCATAATCATCATCATCACACAATCTTACACTCTCCTCATCTTCCTCCTCATCATCATAATCACTATCATTACCACCACAACTACCATCATCATCATTATCATTACCGCATCAACATCATCACTACCAACATTAAAATAAAATTCCTGGGTCTCCAGCCACTCCTTCATCTGCTTTTCATAATCCGGATTGTTTTTAGTGAAGGTCAGTTTGGTGCCCGGTGAGGCAAACACATCGGCCACATCAACTTCTTGTGTGGTCAGCTTCGCCACCATGCTGTTGTCCGTCGTTTCCAGAGTCTTCCAGAGCTGGTCGATTGATCGATTGAGTGAGTGATTGAGTGAATTTATATGCGTATGAATAAATGAATGAACGAACGAACGAACGAATGAATGAATGAATGAATGAATGAATGGATATCGACCTCATCATTCTCGAGTTTGAGTGAATGTAGCCTATCTGTGATGGTTTGAACTCTCGACACCATCTCATCTCTCAGCTGGTTGTTCGACTGAATTTCTGTTATCTGAATGAACAAATGAAAAAATAAATAAAATGATGAATGAACAAATGAATGAATGAATCAATCAATGAATCAATCAATCAATCAATCAATCAATCAATCAATCAATCAACCAACCAACCAACGAACCGTATCTCCTTTATGCGATAGAAAGTCAAATTTTTTGGGCAGTGAAAATATCTGGTGGTGTAATTGGAGGAAAGCCTGTCTGTCAGATATCTGGTTCAAATCTTTCGCCTGGTTAGTGTTCATTGGATGGATGGATGAATGAAGGAATGAATGAATGAATGAATGAATAAAAGAAAGAACGAGCTAATAAAGCTAATTATATTTTAAACAACAACCAATCAAATCACTTAACTTAAATTAACGAGCCGACTACAAAAACCATATCCCAATCAATCGACCACTCGAACCGCTTCACCCCAACCGACCAGCCAATCAAATACTTAGTCAATTGACCAATGAGGTTATTCTTTTCAAATCAACTAGCCAATGAAATCACTCATTTTTTAATCACCCACCAATCAAATCGCACGTACCTTAGATGAAATAAGAACGAGATTCTCAGCATTCAACTTATCCATAGTGGCTTCTAACTCAACGCAGATGATGGTAGAATGGCCTAAACTTATGTGGTAGCTGTAATCCATAGCCTGCTAGCCAGTCATAAATTATAATAAATTATAACGAATAAATTATCAAAAATTATGCTTAATTATTTATTGTACATAAACATACACTCGTATATCTACAAACATTCTGACGCAAAGATAAAACACACAGACAGGCAATCTCACGAAACATAAAACATAAACACACACACACACACAGACAGGCACACACACACACACACACACATACAGACACAAACACACAGACACACATATAGGACAGAAACACGAACGTTGATAATATCTGGCAGGTCATCAATGAAATATTTCCTAAGGGCAGCGTTCGTGCTATCGATAGAGAGCAAGTAC